GGCAGACCTCTCCTGACCCGCCCACTGCTCCCCTCAGCAGTGTACTTCGTCGATCTGTCTGTTCTGCTCCCCACTCTGTCTCTGGTGAATCCTATTACCCTCTGCACCTCTGACTTGAACCCCAGTTCTGTATGCATAAATAAGTAAATCTTTAAAAAAAAAAAAAAGGCTGTGTTGCTTTTTTGAGAGGAAGGTGAATCAGAGGGTGAGGGTTTGGAAGGAGGAGTGAGAGCACATGTATGGGTGTCACGTGCAACTGGCAAGAGAGGCAGGGAGAATGAGACATCTTACCAATGTCATTGTCGTAGGTCTCAGGATCAAATTTCTCATGGATAATGTACTTTTCTACTTTGAATGTCTGCTCCTCCTCTCCAGGGACCAACCGGTACGTTCTGCCCAAGACCACCTTAAGGCCCTGAGAAGACCTAATGGAGAAAAAGCCTTAGGAAACTCTTCTTGGTGTGAGTTCTCCTACTAGGCCTGGTTTCAAGGCTGTAGGGAGTTGGAAAATGCCTTTTTCTTAGTCCTACCTGTTCAGGAAGCAGTGGGCAGCAGACAGGACCCAGCAGGAACTGATCAGCATACCCCCACACACAAAGTTCTCTCTTGACCCCTTCTTGACAAAGATGGCAGCCTGCCATGGATGAGAGGTGATGTCCGTGAAGAGTCCTCCTTTAATGCGGAACTGAGTTTGCTTGTATTTTCTCAGGCCACAGGTGGCTGGGAAAGAAGGGACAAAGAAAAGTGATCAGCAGGTGTCCTGAGGTGAGATCCTTGATTTCTTCTTTTTGAACCCCAAGGTTCTACAAGCTTATTATACTGTAAGTGTGGTACAGTGATAGAATAGTCTCCATGACTATAAAAAAAAATCCCAGCTTTCCTTTGTTGACTATATATGACTTATCAAGTACTCTACTCTTTAGCCTTTACAACACTGAACTTTGGAGAAGCTGACACATTATTGCCCAATATCATAATGGTACCTAGATTTGAACCCAGATCGCTTTGACTCAAAAACTAGAAAGCTTTCAGCTGTTTCATTTGTTACTATAGTTTTTTCTGGATCCATTTCCAGGCTTAACAAATAATGACGCATTGTGACTACCTCCTCATGGAGCACTCTTAACACTCCTGCTGTAAACGAGCAGCTTACAGGAACTGCTCCTAGGACTCCCCACCATGGCCTTGGATGTGAGTTCACTGACAGTCTTTGTTGTTCCTTCCCAACTAGACTCTGTTTCTTGAGGAACATTTTGGCTGGTCTGTGTGTTCATAGGCACAGAGTAAATAATAATCTAGCCTCAGACAACTTCCAAACTGAAGTTTAATCTTTTTAGCAAAGTGTGCCAGCTAAAATTTTCTGATTCTGACCCCACATCTAACCTACTTCCCCTGTGATACAATGGTTTTATGAGAAAGCAAGAAGTCACAGGCAGAAGCAGAGTCCTCACTAGGCACTGTCAGTAAGTTCTTTGAACTTTAAAAGAAAATGTCAAGAAAGCAGATCCCGAAGTAACATCACTTGTTCAATATCAACCACGATTTCTTTTCCTTATCAACATTATAACAAAACCTCAGTGAATGAACCATTCTTGCAGCATCTGTCATACAAGCCTTAGAGTCAGATGAGGTGGGATCAGGTCCTCGCTCTATTGCTTCAAGCCCAGTGAGCTGGGGCAGGTCACGTGACTTCTAAAAGCATGTTTCCTTATGCACTAAGTGGCGGTGGGAAGACTACGTCCCACCACGTTGTTGGGAAAATGTTTTATTTTATTATCTGGGCAGTCACACGTATAAGCTAGCTGTGCCATTTCACATCCTCCTCTGCCACCCCCCTCATCGTTAATAGAGTCATCTAGAGGGGAAATTTCAAGCCTATTGAATACAAAGAGAAATGGGTCTGCTTTTCTCCTTTTTCTTTGCCCTGTCCCTTTACTCCCTGCCCCAGAGTGTGGTCAGCCCACTGCTGCTTGAGTCATGGAAGCCCCCACCCACCAAAATCAGGCGGCTACACACACTGAGCAGACAGATGTGAAGACACAGGAAGCGGAAGGGGAAATGGTCAAAGAAAAGCTGGACAGAGGCAGGTGGTGAGGGTCAGTCCTTACAGCACTGGGGCACGTTGCAGTATTCCCACATCACCCTGAGGTCCTTCAGCACGTAGCACCAAGGTCTGTCATCCCCATCTGGGTTCCTGGTGATATGGGTTTAAGGTTTCCAGTCACATTTTCAATCACATCACAAGCCACTTAAAAGGAGAAGGTTCAGTGAACCAGGTAAAAACACGAAGCTGGCAGAGGGACCCTGGTTTCTGGACATGGCCTCGCCACAGACCCAGCCTAAGAAAACAACGTTCACTTGGTTTTTCTATCAGCATTCTCATTTCACAAGGGTGTCAGGAGCAACTGTGAGCTGTGCTATGAGCAAACTCAGAATTCTCAGAAATAAAAGTGCAATGAAGAGCAGACTAGAGAGTTCTAAGTAGCTACTCTTAGAATTTGGATTAAAAAGCTGGAGTATACTGCTCTTCATAATAGCCATTGTTTAGCAATGGACTAAATAATATCTATGATTCCTTTCCACCTGCTGGTCTTTCATATAACTTTAGGCATCAAATCTCCTATCTTATATGCTGATCTCAGCCTTCTGCCCAGTGTGACCCTCCCAGACCACGCTACACACCGGCAGTAATTGTGGTTGCCCAGACCCAGCGCCCGGGCATCAGTCATCCTCGCTGTGTGCTTCGCGCTCAGCAGGACCTTGGCGTTCCACTTGAGGCAGGAGGCACCAGACATGGTACGGCTGTGGGTGCCACGATATGTTAACCCATTTTTGATGTAGCAGTTCCCATTTTCTGGAACAAAAGAAATCTCAAAGTGAAGCAAAACCAATCAAATGCAAAAGGCAAGCTGGGGTTTGCAGCAGGCCCTGAGGTAGAGCTGCTGGCCAGGGAAGTAGAGGGAGCCAGGCGTCCAGGGGAAGGAATTTGGCTGTGGAGGAAGGACAGTCAAGAGACTGAGGTCTCACCCAGGCTTGACCATTGACTAGCAATTTGACCTTGAGCTAAACTCTTTATCCACGTGACTCTCATTTTCTTCTCTGCTTTGCCCTTCTTCAAGGGGTGGCAAAAAGCTTCTATGGAGTGTGCCAGCTTCCACTAACTGTTTGGGCTTCCTCGATAGCTATGCTGAGGGAGACTCTTCATACAGTTGGGCTCAGCAGGAAAGGGGCCTGTGTTCAGTTAACAGTTGTTATTCCTGGAGCTGCTTGGGAAGCAATTAGGGGTTTCCTCATTTGTACTTGACAGGCGGCATTGAATTAAGGTACTTCAAGGGAGGGAGATGTCAGCAGCACCTAATTTGCCTGCCAGTGCTCTGAAGGCTTTGTCAGTCTTGGGAAGGAAGACAGTATGTGACCCTTTGAGCAGTGCGTATTGTCACCTGTCAATCCCATCTACCCTCTTTTCTCCACACTGGAAACTGACAAAGGATATCACTAACATAAACAGCAACTTCGAAGGGATCTTTAAGATCATCTAGATCAGTGAGTCCCAATTTAAACCAGCTCTGGGGTGGGAGGATGTCTTTGGGTTAATGTAGATTCGTGTTTCACAGGCACATCAGCATTACCTTACACTGAGACAGAGTGGGGAGCAGAACAGGCAGATCGATGAAGCACACTGCTGAGAGGAGCAACGGGCGGGTCAGGAGAGGTCTGCCGCGCCATGTGGGTCACCTCCGGAGCCAGGGATCGAATTCGCACTGAAGTGGCTGCAGCCAGCATGCAGTGCTGTGCCCTAAGCCCCTGCACCACCAGGGAGGACCCAACTTTGTGTTTTTTAAGCCTGGGAAATTTCCTTATAGGTTGAGTGGGAGAGGGCGGAAGAAGAAGCTGAGAACAATTCATCAACCACCCCACGCCCCAAAAGGACTGGAAACCACTACTTCACCCATCTCCTCTGTAGATTAGGAAAATGAGAGTCATGTGGATAGAGTTTAGCTCAAGGTCAAACTGCGAGTTAAAGGTCCAGCCTGGGTGAGACCTCAGTCTCTTGACTTTCCTTCCTCTACAGCCAAAATAACTACCTCCCTGTTCCTTTCTCTCCTCAGTTCCAGGAGGACAACAGACTTGTCCTATGAGAAGCTCACCCCATTGGTGCCCGGAGGGTGCAGGAGCTCACTTACCCTGGGTGCAGGCAGGTGTGCTGCAGAACTCCGGGCTATACTTCCCTGCCTTGAAGACGTAGCACCAGGGCTTGCTGTCTTGGTCTGGGTTTCTGGAAAATGGCCCACGCGAGGTTACAAGGGAAGCCTCTCCTCTCTACCCAGGCCGTCTGCTTCCCTCTCTGGGGGAGGGGCTAGTGTCACGCCAGATGGAAGTGTGACTTACTGCCTTTACCTGGACTCCAGCATGGTGTGAGGAGAAGTGTGTGAGTGCCAAGTGGAAAGTGGGCAGCTATGTGGTGGCTGGTTTTCTGTGTCAGCTTGGCTAGACTACTGTGCCCAGTTGTTTAAACACACACTCTTCTAGGGCTTGGTGTGAAAGGATTTCACAGATGTGGTTACCACCTGCAGTCAACTGCCTTTAAGGCAGCACTGTGTGTGGGTTTCATCCAAGCAGTAGATTTCAAGAGCAAAAGCTGAGAAGAAATTCTGACTCAAAACTCCTGTCTGAGTTCCCAGTTTCTAGCTTGCTTGCTGCCTACAGGTTTCAGACTTGCTAGTCCCACAATTATGTGAACAAGAGTCTTAAAATATATCTCTTTATATGTCTTTCCAATCAGTTCTGTATCTGGAGAACCCTAGCTAGCTGAGGTAGGACTTTCTCACCTGCGGCTGCTCACCAGGGAACCACCCTCTCGGTTGGAAAGATGGCTTCTCACCTGCAGTAATTGTGGTTCCCAAGGCCTAACTTGACAGCATCTCGCCTCCGCCCATTATAGTGTTTCCAGATCAACGCACTGCTGTTCCAGTTGACACACTCAGCCCCGCTTTCTGCTGTGCTCCATGTGCCCCTATAGGTGACACCCAGGTCCTTGTAGCAGGTGGCGCGGGTATCTGAAAGCAGGATATATGACAGCGTAATCAGGGATCCATTTGTTTCCCACATGAGCCACATACCTGCTTCTATCATCACCCCTACGGATGAGGCCAGTTAGGGGCTGAGGACACAGGAATGCAGGAGGTCTGGGGACTGGGTCACACAGCTGACTGATGGCACAGCCCGACTCCTTATTCACATGAAGGCCCTGCCTTTGGGCCCTGGGCACAGCACTTTGTTTTCCTAACCAAATCCTGGACGATCCTTTCCCATCACTACCCCCAGCCTTGCCCCAGGGACATTACATGTCCTGTCCTGCTGCTGAGGATTTCCTAACTACTCCTCTCGCCCACGAACCCACCCACCACTCACCTATTTCACAGCGTTTCCCAACAAATCCTTCAGGACACTGGCAGACAAAATCTGAGAAATACAAGGCCTGCCAACATGTTCCCCCATTGAAGCATCTCGGTTCACTGCAACCTGTTGAATGCAAACCAGAACACCCCTAAATACTGTCAGTGTAGTTTGAAAAAATGATGAGTCAAATGTAAGCATATTTTCGACATACACACCCTTCTAAGCCATTTACAAAAATGAATTCATTTAATTCCTTGCAGCAAAGCAAGAGTTAGTGTGTGCTACTATTCTCCCCATTTTACAGGTGCAGAAAATGAAGCTTGGCAGGTGAAAGCATCTGTCCAGGTCCAACATTATTGGCCCCATCCTCTTTGCCCAAGGCAATGCACTCTTAGAATCTCTGTTTGAACATGCCAGGGACCCTGAGAGTCAGGGTTTGTGCACCTGAGACTGGATCCTGAAGTCTAAAGCCCTAGTCTGAACGGTCCGTACCTTTGATGGGCACCGAGTGGCATTGCGCCTGGCCACTGTTGCACCTGCAGTATTCTACCCGGTTGCTTCTGATCATGGGGCGCAGCCATGACTCGTGGTGCAGGTAAACCATCTGCGTTTTCTCATCTCTGCAGGTCCCTATAACGAGAGATGGGCTGCGTCTGCCGGGCAGTCTCATCAAGCACTGACGGGCAGCCCTGTTTTGTGACAAAACCCCTCACTCATTCTCAACATAACCCACCTTGATTCCTTCCTTGCTCTCTGCTGGCACATAGCAAACACTTGATATTTGTCACCAAAGACCCCTTTTATTGTTTATTTTTCACCGATGGGCCCTCACTTTAAAAAGAATTTTTCAAAGTAAATTTTTAAGTTAATGCTCTTCATGATTCATTTTTATCAGAAAATACATACACTGGACTACCAGAGTTTTTGACCCACAGAGTACTACTGCACAGAACTGCTTCATATGGGGTGCAGGAAAACTGACTTTTTGTGTGCCTGCAGAAAATGTGTTACTTTCTTTGGTAGTTTTGGTATACTAAAAATAGTTAAAGTACCTCCATTAATAGTCCTTCCCTCTTTCTATTTGCAGACTACAATGCCAACTTAAAAAAATAAGCAATTCCTTAAAGAAGTAGTGTCTACCCATTGTAAATGCTACTGTTGCTTCCCTTGAGGGTCTGAGAACCTGGGCACCGTTGTAGGAAACACTGTACTGGCCAGCAATGAAGGTGTTAAGAATTGAGACGTGACTCACTCTGGAGAAACTTCCACTTTAAAAGGGATGCTGCCAAGTCTTCCAGACCCAGAGGAACTAGGTCAGGCCCCAAAGGAAGCAGGAGCTGAAGGCCCTGGGAGTTGAGAGTTTTGGACCTGACACTGGAGCTAGATTTCTTCAAGTCAGACTCAAGACAATCTTCTTTGCGTATTTACTTTCACTTCTTGGACTCTTAATGGGAATGTCTTTTAGACTTCAAGAGTCAACTCTACATGTGGTCTCCCCCTCCCATCCTATGAGGTAACCCAGGTCAGTTATCCCTACTGTACCAACAGAAACGCTCAGCATCAGGCACACTGTTATGTAATGAAGGTGTTGCATGAACTCAGTGGAATGGGGTGCCCAGCCCAGAAAAAGCTGGGAGTCCAGGACTGCTGCAGCCTGCCAATGCCCTGGATGACCACTCAGTCTCTCCAGGCTCTGTTTTCTCATCTGTGTCACAGAATTTGGGGCTATTGAGCTCAAAGGCATCACCCTTTGTGATGGCCTGCCCCCTTGAGAGACAACACACCTGTTCTTGTTCCCCCAGAACCTGGCTCATGGTCTCAACCTCCGGAATGGAACAGGAGGGGTGACACAGATGTCTTTACAGATTTACACTGTAAAATTTCCCCTCACCTGACTCAGCAGAGCCCTACATCCTTAAACCCACAAACCCTGAGGTACCTGCCACCTCCACTGACCCCGTCTACCTCAGACTCATCTTACCATAAGATCTGGCTCTTCTTATGAATTGCATGTGGATTTCCTGCAAAGAACCAGAGGTGGAAAAAGGATCAGCTCACACTGTGTATCTTAAGGACAAAGGTGGCCAAACTGGAAAACCAACCAAGAATCCATCAATCAGACACCACATACCCAGAGCTTCCCCCTCAGGTAACTAGCCCCAGAGGGAAGATGCATTTCCTGCTTCCTTTTCTAATCTTCCCCCATGTCCAAAACAGCTGTCTGAATGACAGATATGTTTAATATCCATGCTGTCCAATATGGTAGCCTCACACAGCCACTGAGCACTGGCAATGTGGTTAGTGTGACCAAAACGAATTTTCAATTCTATGTAATTTTAAAATCAAACAGCCACATGTGGTTAGTGGCCACCTTATTGAGAAGCAGAGTTGTAGCCCCTGCCTCCCCAGCATAGACATCCCTGACTCTCCCTTCTCAAAAATCCTCCTGCTTGGCAGTGCCCACTGGGCCTTCTATGATGCCCTTGGTTGTGGCACTTTCAGAGACCGTGTGTGTGGTACAGCTCCTGCCCAACTGGACTGTGAACAGCCCCAGGGCAGCTCGCCCAATTCCATGACTCATGCACGGCACATGTGTTATCTTTCATAAGTACCTTACAGATGAATTCAACCACACTCTTTGAAAACAGCTCCAAGAGGCAGTCAAAGGTAGGAATGGGCATAGCTATGAAGTCTGAATAAGGGCTGGGGGGCATCTGGCAACCTAACTCCTGGGCAACCGCCACATACATGTGGGTTTGGTGGCCCTGCTGACCCTCTCAGCTCCATGCCATCTGCCCTTGGTGCCTCTGGCACATGGAGGAATATCTGGAAGAGATGGGACACACCCACCTGCCAGGGTAAAGCGAAGGCTGCTCCATAAAACAGCAGTACACACCACAGCTCCCTCTTCATTTTGTTCATCATTTCTTCGGTGTCCCTCTAATTCTGGAAGAAAAGGAGAAAAAACTCGTCATGTGATGTGAGCAGTCAAAGATTATGACTAAGTTCCAGAACCTGCAAATTTATATTACATCCTGGTCCCTCCAGCACTAGCTTCTACCACAGGAAATGGCACACATATCCGGAACATGATTTTTTTGTACACCAAAAATACATGACATTTATTTTTGAACTGTAATGAAATATGCATAACACAAAACTTACCATTTCAACATTGCTCAACCATCACTGCCATCCAGCCACAGAATTTCTTCCTCTTCCCCCGCTGAAAATCTGTCCCCATTAAACACTAAGTCCCATTTTCCAGGGGCCTCCATTCTACCTTCTGTCTCCAAGAGTTGACTATTTGACCTCCTATCCAAATGGATCTCAACTGCACCCTTTCGTGACTAGCTTGCTTTAGTTAAGCAGTGCAGTGTTCTCAGGTTCATCCATTCGTCGTGTGCATCAGAATTTCTTCCTCTGTCTGTCTGTAGAGATCACATTTTTTCTGTCCCTTCATCCACCTGGACTTTTGGGTTGCTGGAAGATGGGCCTGCACAGATTTCTGTGCGCCGAAGGGCAAGCCATGTCTGATCCTCTTTGCAACCTTGGCTTCCCTGCAAGTGAATTCCTGCCTTGGTGACTAGATTTAGCACAGTGGCTTTTCAGAGGAAACCAGAGGGACTTTCACAGAGCCAGCCTGCCTCAGATGCCTCTGCTCTTCTACTCATAATGTCTATCTTGTCCAACAAAGCAATGTCTTCTCCAGACCAGCCTGCACTCTCCCACCATTCCATCGGAATGTTTGTCTCCTTTTTTATAGAGAGCCTGGGCAAAGTATAGATTTGCAGAAGGAGCAAAGGCATCTGGTTTTTGGTCATTAAACTCAGATCCCCCTGGATGCAAAATCTTGGTTTCCAAGTGCCTTTCCCAAAGGCCTTGCATTCAGAAGTTCAAAGTGGGTAATTTGGTCGGGGTGTAATTTTGTGGTCTGGCCCATTCAGATCTTTTTCCACAAAAATTAAATTGGGGCACTTCTTCTCTTGACTCATTTCCCTTCAGTCACAACAACTTTTGTCCCCCTCCCCCTTATCCTGAGGCTCCCAAGGACCCAAAGGGCCCTGTTCAGAGGCGCGCAGAGTTTCTATCCTGGCATGGTTCTGGCTCTGTTGTTTCTTCACAAAGGACATGGCCACAGCTTCCATGGGAGCCAGGATAAAAAGTTCATGGAGGATGAGGAGGTTGCTTTGGATATTTTTTTGTGCCTGGCTGATTTTTCTTGGGCTGATGGTGACAGGCAGAGATGGGGAAATGGAGCTATGGGGAGATGGGGAGATGTACGGATCAAATGATTCCAATAAGAAAATCAGACCACAGGCTCAGAGAAGGTCTTGTCGACCTGCATTCCGCCCCGGCCCCACTAAACCCCATGTGAAGGAAACAGAGAACTGGGAAGTTTGTTCTGTTTGGGCATGTGTGACATTTCTCAGTCTGAGGAAGGCACTTGCTTCTGCTCAAGATTACAGGCAAGGTCCTCCCTGGTGGCACAGTGGTTTAAAGCACAGCAGTAAGAAGCTAAAGCCACTTCCGCATGAGTTCCATTCCTGCCTGCCCTGGAGGAGATCCACATGGCGCGGCAGACCTGACCTGCCCGCTGCTCCCTTCAGCAGTGTACTTCATCAGTCAGCTTGTTCTGCTCCCCACTCTGTGTGTGTGGTGAATTCTCTCACCATCCCTGCACCTCTGGCCTGTTCTGTATGCATAAATAAATAAATCTTAAAAAAAAAAAAAAAGTTTACAAGCAGAAGAAGGGAGTTAAATTCGTGCAAAACAAGAGTGTTTGGTTACATTACATTCCCAAGGAATTATTCCTAATTTTCTTTCTTAGCTTTTCTCAAATGTCCCCTTTCTTTAAACTACTTCAGGGCCCTCCCTGGTGGTACAGCAGGTTAAAGTGTAGCACTAAGAAGCTAAAGCCACTTCAACATGAGTTCTCAGATCCCCAGCCCCGGAGGTGACCCACATGGCGCGGCAGTGTACCTCATCAGTCAGCCTATTCTGCTCCCCACTCTGTCTCTGGTGAATCCTATCACTGCCCCTGCACCTCCGGCCTGTACCCCAGTTCTGTGTGCATAAATAATAAATGAATCTTAAAAAAAAAAAAAGACTTCAAATTCCTCAATTCCCCTTCTTAATTCTATGTCATTATTTAAAACTTTTAAAAACAGACCTTAAATTCATTCCTCCTTTGTATTCCTGATGGTAACCATTTCCCCATATTTAGAGATTATCCCATCCTTTATTATTTTAGCCAAGCCTTGAGGATATAGGGAGAGCTCTGAACTCAAGATTTCATAAAGAAATGCTGAATGAAACAATAAATGAGTGCGCAGATGACATGCCATCAAACAAGGAGCTTTTCTTCACCTTGCATGTCAAATCCACCAATCCTTTCTGCCCGCTCACCCACCTAAGCCCAAGGGAGTGGTTGAGTCTTTTTTTTGGATGCCGGCCAAGTTACTGCTTTCTTTCAAGAACTCAAAGTCCGCCCACATGGAACACAATTCTACAAGTAGGAAAACTGCAAAGTGAGAAGAGAAGAATTAGCACATTTGCATTCCCTAGACAGATGGGAGGGAGGGGCACCTGATGGAGGGAAGTGTGACAGGCTGGGTGTAAAATATTCCAACAGCTGCATTACATCAACCACTTTTGCAATCAAAGTTTAGGATCTGCATCGGGATAGAAAAAAAATGTACAAAATGATGTAAAAATAAACTTTTGTAATAAAAAAATAAAAAATAAATAAAAATTTTGACCATCATAAAAAAAAAAAGTTTAGGATCTGTAAGAGGGGCAAGAGACATTTTTGGTCTTTTGCTTCTGGAAGTTAGAGAGATGGTCTCTCTTCTTTCTACTCTTATCTTCCCTGGTCTGTCTTGGTCTTCAGGGCTGGAGCTGACCCAGTGCAAGTGATCTGGCTGGCTAGCTTGCTCTGTCCTCTCCTGGATGCACAGAGGCAGCTAGAGCGACTGGACAGGCAGAATGGAGTAGGAGAATGACAAAGAAATTAGTCATCCCTGCAGCTGATTAGCAGTGCAGTCCCAAGACAGGGAGAAAGAAGTAAGGGAGGATAAAGTGTCTTTGTTTTGCCTTTGTTCAAGAGGTGGGCGTAAAGGTCTGGGGGCAGTGCCTGGACAAAGGACAAAGGGAATATCAGAAATGTGGACTCAGGCACAGAGCTGCTGGGACTCAGACTTCAACTTTACGATCTCAGGCTCTCAAGCAGGGGAGATGTGCAGAGAGCTCCCTGTGAGGTCATGTGGGGGATGAGGGCTCAAGTGAGAAGTCTTTGAGAAGTTAACTTAATAAATACAAAGACTCTCTTCCTTTGGCTTTATTTAAGTTTCCCAGAACCAAAGAAATGAAAAAGCAGGAGGAACGGAGGAAGAAAGGGAAGGAGGAAACACTAGAAGGGAAAGAAAGGTGGGGGAGAGGGAGAAGGAGAGAAAACAAGGAAGGCAAAAAGGGAGGAAGAGAAAGAGAGAAGTGGGGAGAAAGGAAGCACATGATGTCTCACTTATTGAAGCAGAACCCCTAAATCCTTTGAACATATCACCAGATGAGTGCAGTAGACCAGATGAAATCTGTGGTAACCACGATCTAGAGTTTCTAGGCCTGACAGACCTTCCCTAGGGCACAAAGTTGACCAATGCAAAAGACATCTTTGTTGGATGATATTTCAACAGATGCAGGTCTTGTGATTTGACAAAAGGTCTATGCACATCAGAAGAAGGCAGGGCACATGGTTTTCCCGGATGGCAAGGCTGCTAGGGCAGGCATCCTTATGCAGGACCCAGCCTGGAGGACGGCTTCCCGTGTGCCACAGAGCACTGGCCCTCCTACCTGGCAGCCCAGTTGGGTTCTGCTGGCTGCAGAACCAGAGCAACTCAGCTCAATGGCCCCTGCAGGAGACTGTGGCTGACCACGCCAAGTAACAGCGAACAATGGTAGCCAGGGAGCCGTTACTCCAACAGCCAAGCGTGCATGCCACTTGGGCTGCGAAATGATAATGCCAGTCAGAAATTCAGAGGTCATTTCTGCACTAGTTGCTGAGAGGAATGATGATTGACAGTACCAGTTAATAACTGTTTGCACTGTGTTGGAGGAGTCATCACAGTGGCAATATAGCTGCTAGAGGAAGGACCTGGGGAAAAGCCGGTGGCAAGTCTTCAATGTTCAATGCCTTGGCACTTACGCCCACTGGCATTATTAACTTTTGTCCTGTCCTCATATCTCCTCCATCTTCCCCCATAAAGATCTGCTGATTTTTTTATCAGAAAGGTACCGATGAACTGATTCATGGGAAGTTAAAATGACTGAGTACAATGTGTTGCCCTTCCAAAAAGCTTCTTTGTTTTTTAGGCATAAAATCTGCTCCCAGGGACGCAAAATCATGTGGACCAGACTGTAAAATTTTCCTCCAGGACTATGGTTTTGTGGTTTCCATTGTGAGAACAAATGACATCACGAGTGTGCAGATTGTTAAACACTTATAAGCGAGCATAACTGCCATTATTTAAACACTCAGCTACATGCTATAAAGGGATTTGTAATAAAGTAACTGTAGCAGTCACCCACGTCCTGTGGCTCTGGGTGTAAGCAATGCAACTGCCCCAGATATTACAGAACAAGGACTTGTAGGTTATACACTTGCCCAGCAAGAAATAAGCGGAAGCATGAAGAATTAGAGGATGGAAATCATGGGAAAGACAAAAGTAAATTAGTACTATTAACAAATTTTACACTCTGCATGGCTTTCTTAATCTTTGGTAAAGGGAACTCTTGGGTTACTAATGCTTTACAAAGCTCTGGAAATCTGAGTTAGTCAGTCTGCAAGAGTACCAATAACCTAAAGTGACTCACTTTTTTTTAAACAAACAACACCCTCCCTCCACCCCCCAGCCACCATGGCTCAGGATGCCTGCCAAAAAATAAAAAAT